TTTGAATTTTTACACATTCAGCTACCACACCGAGTTGGTGGAACTTTGTGTCCTTGATTCTAAGTACGGGTGAAAACGAGACAACACATGGATTTTAATCCTTGCCTAGCCCGAGGGCCCAAGGGGAAAAAACTCATATAGAGGGAGCCCAAAACAAAACTTGGCAACTGGCTGGTATTTTTGAGGAGAGATTATTGATCCGCTGGTATATCCATGATCTAGTTTTTTTGAAAGGCCTTCCCTGACCAATTTTGGTGCGGCGGCTGCCTTGGTGACTAGATTTTTGCCTGGGATCATTCCAGGCATGGTTTGATCAAGCATCATTAGAAACAATGATACCCTTTGAAAATTGTCACAATTGTAGCTGAACATTGTATCCCCCTCCCAAGTCTATTAATATGTGGCCTAAGCAGAAACTAAAATCCAGATTTTAGAGGTGAATTTTTGCTATGAGAAGTGGATCAAGGAGACTGAGACAAGTGCTGTTTTTTATATGCATTCAATCCCTTCAGACCAATCCTAGTTTTTACCACTCATGAAAAATCTGAAACAACTGAGAATTAAAGTCTTGGAAAAATCTCACATCCAATCAACTTGTTTTGAAAATTTGATGTGTCTCAGGATCTGATAATCCAAGTTGCCCCAGTCAAGCATATCAGATCTACAAAACATGTGTGTAGAATTTGTTCATGTATACCGGTTGGATAAAGTCCATGCCCACTCATGGTAAGCAGAATTTTTCCGTTGTGGAACTACTCTTTGGTGCGAATAGAGCGTAGAGAGGGATGAATGCTTGAAGGGCTGCCTCTCTGGTTACTGGGAGAGTAAGAAGAACAAGAAATAAGAGTATGGACTCTTAAAGAAAGGTGTGGCTAAATGAAGATGTAAAATATGTAAAGGGTAAGGTATGAGGATAATAAGTCTGTGTGAAATGTCTTAATTCTGTAATGCTAAATATATTCCAAGTAAGTAATGCTAAATCAATGACCAGGGAGGAATAATGTCAACTCTGATGGGGGACAAATGGCAAGGGCCAAGAGAGCACTGCATATAAGTCTTCTGGGAGGGGATAAGAAAACAAGGAGCAAGGCATCATCACAGGGTACATGTAACAAGGCAACATCATGGCTTGGGAGACAGGCTTGGGAATGACATATGTAGAATAAGGAAAACAAGGCTGAAACAACAGGGATGGAAACATGACATAAGTAGATACTGTAGAAAGTGCCATGGTATGTAATAAAGAGAAACAAGAATGATGAAGAACAGGGGTCTTTCCTAATAGTCTGGCTCAACTTGATGGTGGACTTTCTCCCACTTTATACCTGTCATATGACTAAGGTGCAGCCATGTCATCTTCTTCCATGGTCGCTAGCCTACTAGCTGATCCAGACTACGCCAGAAGCGCACAGACGTTCCTGAAACGTCCGAGCGTCTGGCATCTTTTGAGGCATAGAGCCTGTGGTTAAGAGGGAGACTCATCACTTGTCCTCGCTCTCTTCCCCTTGAAGATCTATCAGCTAGCTGTTTTCCGGCAAGTCCACCCCCTTGCCGTACCCGACACCATTTTCTCCCCCTTCTTTTCGCACACCACCCACCCACCCTAAGTGTAGAAAGACTGTAGGCAGAGGGCTGGGGCGGGGATGTATGCCTGAGACCCCAACCCCCGTATTTTCTCTCCTTTAGCGTCCTATTTTCCACAAACCTTCTCCGGCCGGAGGGGGTGTCCCCTAAGGGGGTTTATGAATACACCCCCCCCCCTCTCTTTCCCAAACCCAAGCTAGGCTAAGGTTACCGTCAGAAAGGCGGTCATCTTGGCCAAGCAAGGGTGTCGGGAAGGCTAGCGGAAAATGGATGATCTGTACTTATTTTATTACCAAGTGTGGCTGGTGATCCATGTAGAATATTGATAATGAGTTTTTGGCCTTTGTGGTTCTGATGGAAGTGTCTATGGAGTGATTGAAGGTGGCCATGAGTGTATTACATATTTAGAATGTTGATTTGAGGGTTGTTGTGATATGTAATTGATGCAAAATGGATTCAGAAAGGTGCTTTACTGGTTTTGATTGGTCTTACCACACCGGCTAGCAGATGTGGACCTTGTTCCAATGGCCTGCTCTGCAAGGGACGGAGATTCTGGACAGGTATTTTTGCCAGTCAGAAATTTTTTCAACTGGAGAAGCGGAGGGGGGGGGGGAGATCAATTCCCCAGTTGGGCTTTTTATGACTTCATGGCAAAACTGGGTATAAATGTAAGAGAAATGGAAGTTATGGTGTGGTGTTCTAAACGGTACAGGCCCCCTCAAGCTCGAATGTCAAATTTCAACTTTCAACTCTTCAATATCCTCAAGACTCAAGATTTCAATATTATCACCTCAAATCCCCACTCAGTCCAATGGTTTCCTCATTTTATTATTTTATTCCATTTCCTCTTATTATTTACTCTTCATGTTATTTTTTTTTATTCATCTTGATTTTATTTTTTATCATTTTATTATTCTTACTTATCTTTTTCAAATCACCTACTCAGTAGACAGTCTTGTTTAATTTTCTTGGTCCTAAGACATCTCAGGATGTTGGTTTATTTCACTCTTGATTATTTTGTTTTGTTTTGTTTTGTTTTGTTCTGTTCTGTTCTGTTCTGTTCTGTTCTGTTCTGTTCTGTTCTGTTCTGTTCTGTTCTGTTCTGTTCTGTTCTGTTCTGTTCTTTTCTGTGCTTTGTTGTGTTGTGTGTGTTGTGTTGTGTTGTGTTGTGTAGTGTTGTGTAGTGTGGGCTTGTTTTTGTTTTTTGGTTGAGTTGTGTTGTACTTAGGGATGTGATGACATGTCACTCCCCAGAGTCAAAGTTCAGTTTGAACTGAGATGATGGGGAAGCATGGCACTCTGATCTGATCCAAGATAGACCCATCAAATATTATTGATCTTTTTACCATTGATTCATCTGATCCTCATACTCACCTTCACAGATCCTCAACCTCATCAACCGCCACAGAAATCGAATTCTGTTGTCTCCTCTCAGAAAACCAACCAACCCCAACGTGTTTTTGTTCAGATCACAGCTCAATTTATCCTGACCCCACTTGAAGGCAGCCCTCAAAGCAATTTCCCTTCAACCAACTGCCTACCGCCTGGCACAATAGGAGTTCCACAATGGACACCGGTGTTGACCTGAAGGAAACCCTTCTGGTCCCGCCCCCTCCAACCACCCTTGGTTTAAGGGGTGGGTATCCGAAGATACCTGCTCGGATACCCGGCAAGGTGGGGGGGAAACCCGCCGGTGGATGCAGATGCGGGTGCAGATACCTGTTTACCTAGAAAAATCAGCCAGATATCCGGATGCAAAGGGGCCATTTCTAACTAACAGAAAATACATTACAGATTCAGGTAAATGTAATAGCCCATTGTTGTCCTATACCTTACTGTTGAAACTCTGCATGATTCATGAGTGAAATCCCTTAGCACTCAATTCCAACATTCTTCTTGTCCGCAGCAAAGAATGTCTATCATCAGACTGACCTAATCTTGTATCTGTCAACTAGTAATTATAAACTTTATGATGCAAGGTAGAATATGGTGATCTTGCATAACCATATACAATACTGAAAGAAGATGAGAAGTTCATCCCTACAAACCAGTAGTGAAAAGTCTCATTTCACTTGGAACCACCATCATCACATTGCCTAAATCCACTACCTATCAACACCCAAACTGTTTCATTCTTGTACCATCTCACCGCTTTTTACAACAAAGGAATTCAGGAGGGGTCCATTCATAACTCAAGTGGTGGTTTTTCCAAACCCAGATTCCTTTCAGGGGGATGATAAGGGCAATCCATCCCCCCTCGCACACGCCAGCTGCAGATTGGTGTGCGTGCCTGCACACCATTGCAGAATGGTGTGCAGGCAGGCACACCACTCGCCTGCAGGGGGTATACCCTGCAGGTTGGTGTGCCTGCCTGCACGCCCAATATATGTGGTCCTAAATGCATATTTTTATGCGTTTGGGACCTGGGCTGTCCCATAGGACCCTTGATTCTGGCTCATGTGATTGACTCTCCCTTGGATTAGAATTGAGGATACTCTGCTGGCTATTTTGTGCAACTATGCTCCACAGGGAATCAAGCTTTACTTGAACACTTGGGCAGCAGCAGAAGCCCACCATTTGTATGTCAACCTGAAAGACAAGGTGATATCTAACCTTAAGGCAAGCCGGTTGCTCCATACTCTCCATTTTAAACTTCTGTTGCTTTCCAATTTAGGGGGTTGGAAAAACGACTCCCTAAAATTTGCTGACGACTCCCATTTTGGTCAAAGGGTTGTTGGGCGGGAGTCATTCTTCCAAACTGATTGCCGACTTTGGGAGTCAGCCATCAAATTATTTTTTATTTTTATTTTTAGGGAGTCGGTACCCCAAACCACCCCTCATGCTTGAGGGTGTTTGGGAGTCATCACTCCCATGACCAGGAGGATTTCCTTCCAGTTGACAAGAAACAAAAATCTCATCGACCTGAAGGGATTCCTTCTGTTCGATGAGGTATAACAACCTCATCTGTTGAGTGGAACAGGCTATGGGACTGAGGCTACTCAATCAAAAGCCTGGTGACAGCTCAACGCAAGGGTGATCAAGAACATAATGTGTTTAGATTTGATGATCAGACAAAAGCATGAGAATGAAAGCCTAAATACAAGCTGAGTTTTGGTTGAAGCATACCCTAGCCATAAGCATCTCAACACACCCCCTTGCTGAAGACCAAAAACAAACTAAAGGAGAATAAAAGAGATAAAAAAATTCTACTAGTGGGTATGATAGCAGATAAAAAAATCTCAATATCAGGGGACAGAAAGTTTAGATAAATCAAGCCAGAGATACTTAGCGTGTAGAGGACAGGGAGAAGTATTTTTCAACCATTATACTCTTAACCGACCACGGTAATTGACTATCAGGTTGCACCAAAGTTGTAAGTCCTACGAAACTAATGTGCTTGACCTTCTTGCAGTCCATCAACCCCATACTACATCAAAGCTGTCACTGTTGTCATTGCCTTCAGAAGGGTAGTGTCCCAGTTGAAATGTAGAAACAGCACCCGCAAGAACATCCCCAGCTTTAGAGGTGGGCTTGGATTTGCTCTTTATGGACAGATTGGGGCAGATGTCCAAATGATGGCCCTTCTGGCCGCAGTTCCAGCAACCAAGATGTTGTTTATTCTTAGCAGCAGCAACCAAGGCCATATGTTCTTGATTGACATGGCCGTGCGTAGCAGAAGTGGAAACCTTGTGGGATTCAAGTGCACCAATTGCATTGTCAAGAGATACTTCTTGCGGAGAGTACACCAGATGATCACAAATCATCTTACAGCTATTTTCCGATCCACAGAGTAGTTGATCACATATTTGCTGATTGTCAGGAGCAAGCTTGACACTAGCGAGATCAGTTGCTGCCATCCTCACTCGCGCAATCCACTTTGCAATGGGTTGGTTGGGGTCATGACAAGCTGACCAAACGTTATCCTCAAGGAGAAGCCAGCAAGCACAGGTGTTCTTCTTGTTGGAATTTCACCTCTCTCTCACACTCTGTTTTTCTTTCTCACATGAATATGCTTGTAGTGTTTTTCCTGATGTCCCACAACTCATCCCCCAGCTGTATTAGCTTAAAACCCAGCCTCTCATTTTTGAAATAAACCTCATCAGTTCTTCTGTGCCTGTTCCCTGGGGTCTCTATTGGATACAGCCCCTTGTAGTGAGAGTGCTTTTCCACCTCACAAGCTAGAAGGCTGCAGGTACATGGGCTTTTCCCCATCCTGTCTCACATCTCCCTCAGCCCACTAGGGTCTTTATCCCAACACTTCTTGTACCCCTTGCAGAAAGTTTTGAACAGTTTGCTGGCAGGTTGGACTGACTTGTAGCAAATGGACAGATCAACTGAGAGGGCCAGCTTGATGGTTGATTGAGCCACTTTGGAGAAGGAATCCCAGTCGGCTGCCAACTCTTCAGGTTTATAGCCGCGCTGCTCAGAGGATTTCACAGATAGCTTTGTGTTGCCTTTGGGAAAAACAAGTTTGCCTGTGACAATATTGTGCACGCCCTCAATCACTAGGACATCTTCAAGTTCAGATCTCCACGCTGGGAACGTGACCAAGTTGCCGTCCAAGGAGGGAACCAATGGTATAAGTGGGGGAGTGATAAACACACTCCCTCCCCCTTGGCGCACGCACTCCAACACGCCAATCAAAATTGGCGTGCGGACCCACACGCCAACCCTCTGCGCGGGCATTCCCCCAGCAGGTTGGCGTGCGGGTCTGCACGCCAATTTTGATTGGCGTGCAAGGCTGCACGCCAACCTATAAGCGGGGCATGCATGCACGACTCGCCATATCCCATAGGACCCAGGCATGGGTCCTATGGGATAGCCCTGGCTTGAGGCTGTTGAAGGAAAAAAAAGTATTTGGCTGGGAGGAACCCCTCCCCCCAGCCAGCCCGTGAACGGTTACGGAGTCTTGAGGTCGGGAGGTAAAAGGTCTCAAGGCCGAGAGGAACCCCTCTCGGCCTGAGACGGTAAAAGATCTCAAGGCCGAGAGGAACCCCTCTCGGCCTGAGACTGTAAAAGATCTCAAGGCCGAGAGGAACCCCTCTCGGCCTGAGACTGTACACCATCGATGACCGGTGTAAGACTCAAAAGTGGTTGTGAGAACCCTTTTGCTGAATGTTGAAGGGTATGGTGGAGTTGCAAGCTCTGCCCTTCTGTACTATCAGATAACAAGACCCACCAAGCTCAGCTTGGCAAGTTTTAATGAAGTGATAGGGGTGGTTGGTTCAAGAATAAGTTGTTTGATCGCAGTATAATTGTATGAGAGAAGAGGTTTTGAGAGTATGAGAGTGAGTTTAGTGTGTATTACAAGTGTAAGGGTTGTTATAGGGTGTTTGTAAGGGTTGTTACAGTATGTAATGTTAATGGTATGGTATGTAATGGTAGGGGGTATGTGATTTGTGGGTACTAAACTGAGGGGAAAAACAACTGGGAGGAGAGCCTCCTTAAATACACAAAGGTGAGGGATTTTAGCTTCAGGGGAACAAGAGAATGAGAGATTTTAGCTGGCCAGAGCTTTACAATGAGGGGATTTAGCTAGTCAGGACATGTACATGAGGTATTTTGGCTGGTTGAGCAACTTACATGATGTCATAAGAGTCATTTTATCTTGAACTAGAAGTCTACATGAGGGTTTTATGCTGGTGTAGCATGCTACATGAGGTGATTGTACTAGTCTGCAAATTAAGATGGAGTGATGAAGATTACATGAGTGGTGTGAGATAGTCTGACAGCTGCAAGGAAGAATAACAAATGACATGACGGCCTGCATGATGTCACTTGTAAATCCAGAGTGGTACTACACTAACACTGCATGTGTCAATATGTCAGAAGATGGTGGAGTGGTGTGTATACTTATGTACTATGCTGGTGAGAGAGTGTAGTTGTCCTGCAATGTGCATATGTATAGTGTGAGATATGTAATTGTTGATGTGTTGGTGGTGATTAAGTGTTGACAGGTTGTTGAGGTGTGTAAGTGAGTGTTGTGAGAGTCCAGAGGGTGTAACTCCCAATCCAGTTGAGTTCCAGTGACGCCTCCAGTGGTGACCAAGGGTGAAATTGACCGTAGAATCCAGTTCTTGAGCCGTAATAGGTGATTTCCGAGTGTATGTAGAGGAAAAAAGCGGGATAAAAAGAATAATAAAAAACTTTGAATTTTTACACATTCAGCTACCACACCGGTCAACCGGTCATTGATGGAAGCAAAGACCCCCATTGATGACCGGTTGACCGGTCATCGATGGTCGATGGTGTACAGTATCAGGCCAAGAGGGGTTCCTCTCGGCCTTGAGATCTTTTACCATCTCAGGCCAAGAGGGGTTCCTCTTGGCCTTGAGACCTTTTACAGTCTCAAGGCCGAGAGGGATTCCTCTTGGCCTTGAGACCTTTTACAGTCTCAAGGCCGAGAGGGATTCCTCTTGGCCTTGAACCATGTAAGGTCTCAAGGTCGTGAGGAACTCCTCCCGACCTCAAGACTCTGTAACAGTTCACGGGCTGGCTGGGGGGAGGGGTTCCTCCCAGCCAAATACTTTTTTTTTCCCTTCAACAGCCCCAAGCCAGGGCTATCCCATAGGACCCAGGCATGGGTCCTATGGGATATGGCGAGGCGTGCATGCATGCCCCGCTTATAGGTTGGCGTGCAGACCCGCACGCCAACCTGCTGGGGGAATGCCCGCGCAGAGGGTTGGTGTGTGGGTCCGCACGCCAATTTTGATTGGCGTGTTGGAGTGCGTGCGCGAAGGGGGAGGGAGTGTGATTATCACTCCCCGTATAAGTGGAGATGGGTTGTTGATAGTTTGGATTGGCATGGCTTGATATGACCGGGAGCGTAACGGAAAAATATGTTGAGTTAGAGCGACAGTGGAGCTCAAAATCTGTTGAGTGGAACCAGGCTATGGGACTGAAGCTACTCAGGCAAAAGCCTGGTGACAGCTCAATGAAAGGGTGATCAAGAATGTAATATGTTTAGATTTGATGATCAGACAAAAGCATGAGAATGAAAGCCTGAATACAAGCTGAGCTAGCTATAAGCATCTCAACATCATTGGCTGGAACATCCTCATCAACGGAAGGAATCCCTTCCAATTGATGAGGTGTAACATCCTCATCAACGGAAGGAACCCCTACCAATTGATGAGGTATAAAAACCTCATTGACCAAAAGGAATCCCTTCCAATTGATGAGGTTGTTACATCTCATCAACCGGAAGGAATCCCTTCCAATCAATGAGGTATAACAACCTCATCAGCTGGAAGGAATTCTTTATGGTTGATGAGGTATAAGTCAATGAGTTTGTTATACCTCATCAATTGTAAGGGATTCCTTCCTTCAATGAGGATGTTATACCTCATTGAACGGAAGGAATCCCTTCCAGTTGATGAGATTTTTGTTTCTCATTGACCGGAAGAAAATCCTTCCAGTCATGGGAGCGACGACTCCCAAACCCCCTCAAGCGTGAGGGGTGGTTTGGGGTGCCAACTCCCTAAAAAAATAAAATAAATAAATTGATGGCCAACTCCCAAAGTCAGCCATCAGTTTGGAAAACAACTCTCAACCAAAATGGGAGTTGTTTTTCCAACCCCCTTTTTTTAAGGGGCTGGGAAAAACGACTCCCAAATTTTAGTCGCCGACTCCCACATACGGTCGTCCAACGTCAAATGGGAGTCGTTTTTCCAAATGGATGGCCGACTTTGGGAGTCGGCCATCCAATGATGTTTTATTTTTTTTAATATTTTTTTTTGCATTTTTGGGAGTCGGATCCCCAAACCACCCCTCATGCTTGAGGGGATTTGGGAGTTGCTCCCACATGACCGGAAGGAAATCCTTCCGGTCAATAAGAAACAACAATACCATTGACCGGAAGTGATTCCTTCCAGTCGATGGGGCTGTTACACCTCACCAACCGGAAGGGATTCCTTCAGGTTGATGAGGTTGTTACACCTCATCAACCGGAAGGAATCCTTTCCGGTTGATGAGGTTGTTACACCTCATCAATCGAAAGGAATCTCTTCCGGTCCTCATCAATCAGAAGGGATTCCTTCCGATTGATGAGGTGTAACAACCTCATCAACCAGAAGGGATTCCTTCCGATTGATGCGGTCTACACGGACCTCA